TAGAGGAACGAAACTAATATTTTATAAAGTTGTTCTGGTATTTTTTTTTCATCATCGCACAAAATCCCAAAAATATTAAGGGGAGAGTTATACTAAACTTTACTTTAAAATATTGGAGTAAGTGATTGTACTCCTAACAAGCCTTTTAAATCAATTTGCCTTTCAGATGCTATGTAAAACTGTTGGGCTCTAAGCTCTGTGACAATATCGCAAATTAAAGTCGAATATCCGCCTACCACATCGCAAAATGTATGCGTGCATCTCAAGTGCCTAAGTTCCATGAAAATTATGTTCTGTTTTTACTTAGAACTCTGAGTAGTTCTTGGCCAAATTTTTATAGTTTAAGTGCTTTATTTTTCAAGGTCTATGAAATTAGTGCTCCAAAAAATCAATATCGCACATTAATTTTAATCAATAATAATTTCTTTCTAAAGGCACTTGAAAGTAAAACGCCTGCTAGGATTTCAAATATTTGCAAAAAGTCGCTGGCCCGTTAATTAAAGCAAGCAAATAAAGCAATAAAAAAGAAACATCATTTAAAAATGCAACATGCGCGGCACAAAATTTATCTTTTCATGGTAATTTTTTCAATGTATTTTCTTACATACATATGTATGTATGTATCCCTGTGTGTATATAAAAGAATGTAAATTGGAAGCGTCTCTAAAAAAATTCACTGCTTTTTAGAAAATGAATGAAGAGCTGGCTTCAGTGCCGCAGGGATGATTTCATAGCCACATCAAAGTTAAATGTCCCTGAAATGCTACTTTTAAACCTCACTCTTTGCCTCTATAAATGTAAATAACATTCATTTCCGTTTTTGTCGTTACACACACATACACACACTTCCTGAACGCGGACCGTTTGCAATTTTGACGAACACAATTACCCAATAAAAAAGCCTCAAATTTTAATATTGAAATTTAAATGTATATTTTATGTATATATGTATGTATTGAGAGGCGTGAAAGTGAAGTGCTCTATATATTTGAGGAGCCCTTTTAACTGTTTGAAATAAAGATATCAAAGCGGCTTAAAATTTAGAGAAAGGCTAATGATTTAAAAAACAAATACAAAACTAAATTATTGATTGCATAAAAAAATTAACGCTTATGCGCTAGCACTAAGTATGTATGTAGGTGAATTGGTTCATATGTTTTTATTATCACTTTTTACTGTTCAGTTATGACCACTTTTACAATTCAGTAGCTGTTGTCTTCTGTATTTTCTTTATATTTACCTTTTTCATCAGCCTTTTTGTATGTACATACGTTAATGGTTTAGAGTAAAAAATGGGACATAAAGGTAATTTTAAAACTGGACATATTTATTTCGGGCAATTTAAAAGTTGGACATAAATTTCTGGAAATTGTATATAACTGCACAAATTTGTTGCTCAGATTGAAAATAGACATAATTTTCTGGTAATTTTCGGCATATATTAACTGATTTCCATGAAAGGCATGAAGCTTTCGGTAAGCACTGCGCTAACCGTCAAAAATATAAAAGCGAGATTTTTTTTAATTTTTTTTTTTTAATGCAGAAATGCATCTAGATGCTCTAGGAACATTTCTGCAATNTCAAAAAAAAAAAGAAAATAAAAAAAAATTTGAAATTTAAATCGCAGTAGCTGCACTATGCTCACTTTTATTCAACTTCCCACCTTCATCGAAAGTCGCCAAGTGCTCAACAAAAACATTTCAAAACTTTCTGAAACACTTCTAATGTACTTGGAAAAAGTTAGTTAGTCATCTCAGCATATTTTGCACTTTTTGAATGGATGAACAATGAAAACGGTTTAATACTTAAAGTTAGCAATGTAAGACTGTTTGGCCAGGCTAACTATCAACGCTATGGATAACGAAAACAACTTTAAAAGCTTTAAGAATTTATTTAGTTATACTCACACAGACAAAGTTAACGTTGCTGCAAAATGAGTTCCACTTAATTCTCAACTTTGCTTTGCTGCTGCTGCTCGTGTCTGCAGTTTGCAAATAGTTTATATAAATAAATTTGAGTGCTTATGCATTTAAGAGCGGCAGTGTGCATTGAA